TTTTTTTGGGCGTTCAATGAATAAAATTAAAATTGTAGAATGAAATGTAAGCTAATAAAAAATCAAAGGAAATTCATTTAGATTCCCTAATCAGAATATATTTTAGTTCACATGAAAATTTGACCTAAATCATGTCAAATAAATATTATCCAGCACAAAACATTGAACTAACCTCAAACAATAAAAGTATGCAGTTGCAACACATCGGGTGCTATCTCAGATTTTCTAAGCAAATTCAATAATTATCAAAATCATTAATAAAATTTTATTACGTTACCTTGAGATAAATTTTATGCACTCCATGGACATGAACAAAATTTTGTCATGTTTCCTGCAAGTATCAGAACCAACTCTCTTCCTATCTCTAATAAATGTTGAGCTTACAATGTACCAATTTATGAGAAGAAAAACATGAATTGTTGGACTTCCACTTACATGGCCAAATCATGGTTTCTCAAGATCCTTCCTTGTTGATATTAACAGAAAACATGACTCAAGTATATACTGAAGAAAGTCTCGACATGAAAAAAACTCTTGATGCTTCAGTACGGTTCAAAGAAACCCCATCCAATTTTCATAATGATTAATGACATATGACCCCTTCATATTTGTTTCGAAATAGTTAGGCACCTCGGTGATTAGGTCGAACTGAAAGGTAACTTTTTTGCTATTATCACCTGGCAAAATCAGGGATGATCTAGCTATAGCAGCAGAAGTTTAAGATTTTGATGAACATCATTTGAATTTTCAATAAACAAGATATAGCCCGGAAAGAAATCTTACCTCTTTGAAACCTTTGCTTAAGAGAAAGCTCGATGCTTTCTCACACCGAATTCCACCAGTACAGTACATTTCGACCCGGGGCATCTTCTTTTCCGTTTCCTCAACTTGTTGTCCTGCGGTTTTAGCCGATCCAATGAGCTCGACCTTGTCATCACCCGATTCATTTCATTTGAATCTCTCTTCTACCCATGATGGGAAATCACGAAAAGCAGTTGTACAAGGATCAACTGCTCGCTTAAACTTCCCTATTCTAGTTTAGTAATCATTGCGAACATCGATTACCACCTAAATATTAGAAAATGACAAAGTCAAATTTCCAGATAAAGATTCCGTCGAAAAGCAAATCGGAGCCTATTTCAAAAGAAAAAGAAAATATGAAGTCTGATGCACACGAGGAGAATTTAAAAGAACAACCAATGAATTGCAAACAAATATTTATAAGCAATTAACCAAGACATTGTAATGTGTACTGAAGTGGTAGGTGTTGTGGACCTTCGGTCATTCGATATTCACACTTAACATATGACTTTTTTAGGAACCAACTGTGAAGTGTCAAAACTGATGTGTGCTGTGGTCAACAATACATATAGGATATGCTATAAATTATCTCATGTAAACTTTGGTAGGTATTTTGCCAAATAGCATTAATAATACTTGCACTTCATTAGGTGATCTACTGTGTCAGGAGTCCAGACACCCACATAATTGTGCTTGTAACTTCCAAGAAAGGTTTTGCTATGAGTACATAATGAAGTCTACATAATGGTTTGCATACACTCATGTAAAAATTAATTATGTACACATAGGGATAGTTCTCCAAGAAATTCAAAGAACATGTGTAAGGTTCTTGCAACCAGGCAATTTTTTTTTTTTTTCTTTAAGGTCAATTAATGACAGTTCAACCACAATATAGTATGCCTTCAATTAACCCTCAAAACAAAAATTCAAACGGCCAAGATTGATCTAAGAGCACAAACAAGAAAAAGCTCCTTACAGTGTCTGGATCACTGATCAATTCATTCCACTCCTTGGTGCTCACATACGTCCCAACTCTTTCAATTGGCGACACAGACGGCATCCCAAGAGTCACTATCTGCAAACCACGTTCAAAAAAGCTGTAGCTTCTACTCATATTCCAAACTGAATAAACTATTACAAATTGTCCCATTTCTCCATATAATAAATCTACCTCTTTTTTCAGCTTGACTCTCACGAGGTCCCACCGAAAGGGATCATATTCCCCAGCAGCAAGGAGTGTGCTGCTCGTATGCCCAAGGTGGATAGCTTCTTCCTCTGGACTCACAGGCGTGTCTATACGCTTGAGGCCCTTTAACCTGTCGTCCGACTGGATAAAGGAGAGTACTTCTTATACCGAATCACAGGTCCCACATATGCTCCCATTGATTCCTTCTAGTGCAAGGATGATGCCACCTGAAACACGCTGAAGGTATCGATTGAGGCATTAATCACAGACAAGCCTTTAATGGAGTAATGTGCAAGGGTAGAGGATAAAAGAACAGAAATGCATAAGCATTATCACTCATAATAGCTCATTTCACTTCATAAGGCAGTAACAGTAAGTCAGATTTTTTTTTTTTTCTAACACAATTGTAAATAACCCCACCAAGTGTGTGCAAGATGAATCAAAATTTGTTTCCGGAAAATTTCAAAAAGAATAAGAAAGTAGACCTTGTTGATTCCAAGAATACCCAGTAGTTGATCTTGATAGTCCACAAAACACAAGGCTCGAGGCTGCTGATGACATACACCATTATAGCAGTAGCTAATGCAGAAGGCAAATGGCACATGAATCTACAGTCTACAAGAACAAAAATATACAAAAACCATAATACTCACAAAAGGGGCATCAAGAAAAACTGAAACTAAACATTATGAGTAAATAAATATTCACCAGAAATCACAGAAACAAGAAGGCACTCGCATCTCCTCAGAAACTCCTTGCGAAAATGGTCTTTGAATTTAAGGCTTCTCGCAATGTACTCAAGAAATGAGAGTGGAGTAACAGGGTTCATCCTCCATTGAAGGGTAGAAAGAACCAAAATCTCCATTCTCTGAATTGTCTTTGGCTCAAACACGTACTTGGGATCCTCCACCTGAGAAAACAATCAACAGATAAAAACATCTCAAACTCCCAATCTAACCACATTGTTAAAAAAAGTAAACAAAAATAAAAAAAATCACACATCAAGATTGGATTTTTATTTATGTGTTATCATTTTCACATACTTGGAGGTCCAAAAGTAGAGGAACTTGAGTTTCCTCAACTTCAGCAGCAAGAGAGAGGCAAGCCACAGCAGCTAGCTGAGTCACCCATGGCCTTTTCTCCCCATGTAACTCAAACCCGCACAAAAACCTATCAAGATAGTCAACTACAAGAACCGCAGTGAGGGCAGAAAAAGAATAGTGCCCAACGACCTTGATCATCCACTCCACCCCCTAAACCCTGGCCTTCACCAGAAACGAATTTCCCTCAAAGCCACGTAGCGGTTCTTTTTCTTGCTATTTGACCAGCAACAACCTCTGCTCCGACCACGCCACCTCCTCCTTCTCCATCGCCGCCGTCCACTCCACGAGCAGCGAGTTTCGATTTCATTAACATTTCCGTTGCAGAAGGCGGGAAGGATAAAAAAAGGAATTATTTTCGATTCCATAATAATTCTGCTAGGGTTTGAAGGAAAAAGAGAAATCTTGTTTGGAGGAGAGGAACGAAAAGAGGAGAGCTCCGCGGTTAGGGGTTTGAGAGTTTCAATCTTTTTCGGTCGATGTCGTGTGCTGAAAAAACGGAAAAGTGGTTGTCATTCCATAATCTCAAGATTTTGAGGGAGAAATGAGTTTCAGAGATTATGAATGAAGAAAGAAGAGGAAATGGGGGAGAGAAATTGAGACGTGCGAAAGCATTTTTTTCGGATTGATTTGACAAATGAGGAAACGTGCACAGACCACCATACATCAATGCCAATAAGTCGGTCAATGTAAAAGAGCTGAAATCTAAGCAGTGGCATCACTCGTAATTATCAGGAAAAACTAAGGGCATTGTTCGTCTGAAACAATAGGAGTAGCAAACTTGTAAACAAAATCGTACACGTGTCAATTTTTTAAGAGCTCAAAATGGACACGTGTCGCCCATAGAAGGGCACAAACTTATTCATATATATATATACTAGATTTTCTCACGCCGTGCACGCACGGCGGTCTAACACCCC